AGCCCCGTTGTTGATGAGCCTTAAAAAAGCCGCATTATCGCCAAGCAATTGAAATTTTTTGAAATATTTATTCATATAATATGCATGCCACATCTATTTTGAATTGATAAAAATTGCTTATAAACGATTTTCTCCTGTAAACAGTAGTGAGGAGGAAAAACAAAGACTCAGCCTGTCAACGGCTTTTTTGTTAAGGAACAGGCATTGAAACTCCTGCGTCCGCTGAAAATAGGCCACTGCATTAAAATACTCAAAATTTCCAAACCTTTCTTCCGATGCCTGCAGATTATATTCATAGAAATATTTAAATGTATTTGAAATTAAGTATTTGTATAGAAATAAAATTCATTTTTCTTGCTGCACGATATTAAAGTCACTCTTAACGTGGGGTTCCAAGTCCCAACGATAGTGCAGTAAGAAGACAATTTGTTGTGTATTTTTCGGTTTAAATAAGTTTTATGCTAAAAACGATTGCTATGGACGCGAATAAATGAAAATAGAAAATTTGATACTTCTGGCGAGGATAAACAACTGGGTTAAAATTGACACTAACCTGCTCCTTTCGCTGGAACCAAAGCTTAAACTGAACTCGGCCGATGCAAGTCACCGGGCTTGACTGGATTTTCTCTTGTTTTTGCCCGAAATTCCCTCATTTTGACATTTTTGACCGAATTTCGAACTGAAAGGAGACACACAATACAACTTGGCGCACATGGTAAACAATTACTGACCCCGCCTACCTAATTTCCAGCAGCAAAGGTCGAGATTGAATAGTGCACTGTTTTGCCGCAGGCAGCGCTGGCGTTTCCCACTTTTGCAGCACTCAAGTTGAGCGTCCCGGAAAAAGATTTTTTTTTCTAATGATGCGAATAATTCACTTTCAAAAAGATCTATAAATGATTTTAAGACCAAAAAAGTATAATTTATTTATAATCAATAATAAAAAACACCATAAATTAAGATTTTTGTATAAGTTTTTACGGTTTATATCAGAATATTATATTTTATATACATTATAATTAAATAATATTGCATAAATTTAAACGATATTTGTATTTAGTAGCGTCAGTTTTTACAAAAAATTAAAAAAATCATTGAACAGAACAATATAATGAGTTGCTACTGCTATAGTGTTATGACTTACGGCAATGATTGTGAGACAAAGGGCAAAATTTGGTCGCATGTGGGAGATACTTGTTATTAAAAATTCAATTTAAATTGCTATATAAACCAGTTTAAATACCTAAAATGAGAACGAATTTAACAAAATTGTCAAATCAATAACAATTGAGAATTGATTTGCTGGGGAATAAATTTTAGATAGAAACCGCGCGATAAAAGAGAATGATTCTCATTACCAGCGGGCGAACAGAAGTTCTGAGCTTTCAATGGAGCGGCGCAGCAGTTGAAAATCGATCTGGATTGAATTTTCCGCGCGGCCGCCGATTGATAATAAAAGTTTTAATGGCCACACCAGCACACAGAGGAGAGAGAAGAAATAATAAAGGCGCCAAGGCGGTCGGGAGCAATGACGCGTGCGGAAAGTGCGATAATTGCAGCGCGCGACATGTGGTCGGACGATCTAGTCTCTAGTTTGTAGCGAGAAAGAAAAGCCCCAGCACAAAAAGGAGCAAAGCAGATTCCTCTCGATAGCGCTGGACAGCGCAAAACACAGGCAGATGGCCCTGCTTTTGCAATAACAGTTACATAAAGGCTCCCTTGAGCAATAATTTTTGTTCATATGGATTTTAAAGAGACAACATTTGATTAAACAGATTAAACTGCCATCGAAATCGAGATCGAAAAATTCGCGTCACCAACGCATATATAAAAAAAGCTATATAGAACGTCAAAACTGCGTCAAAGATGAACTTTTCCCCGGTGTCAAATGGAATAAAATAATTTGGAAATCCAGCAAAGATTACAATTTTTTTTTAATATTATATATCATCTTTCAGTTTCAAACACATGATATTTGCCCCTATTTCATGTAATAGAAACACACAAAAATAAAAAAGGCACATTTATTAAATAAAAGTGCTAGCTCATCATATAAGTGTCAGACTATGCCTAATTTTTACAAAGAAAAACAGTTTTATTAAAGAATGCAATGAATTTTTTTAATCATTCTAAAACTGTCAATAAAAATCATATTTTTAAGCTATTTTGTAAACATAAAATTTCTTCATTTTTGTTAGTTTATTCGAGAACAAGCATTTTGGATTGAAACAAAAAATAATTGGGATTTTGGTGACTCATATATAATTTGTATTTCCGCGAGGGCGACAAATAACTAACGAATGGCGCGGGTGCCGAGATTGGAAAATCGCGGCGGGCGCGGCCGTAAATTCGCGGATGTGTGACATCGACAACGCGCGACGCGAGAGCGAACGAGCGGGTGCCTAATATTTTATCAGCTCATGATAAATTTATACGCCCGCGTGCTGTGTTTGTGTCGCCGCGCTGCCGTTCACATAAAACATATATGAACGAAAAGTAGTCGCTGCCAGCAGCGTTCGCGTTTATTATAGATGCGCGTTTCTTTTTGGCCCTTCGCGCCTGCCTGCAAATTCGCATGTGACGAACCACGAGCAGAGCAATGAATGTGTTTGAGCTGCTCGCGCTCTGTGTGAAATATCACGCGAAACAAGAGCGTGCGGTGCAGTGTGTTTTGGCCAACAACAAAAACCTAAGCGCCAAGCGCCAGCCACGGACTGACTAATTACAAAAATTCTAAGTTTTTGAAAGAAAGTATTTTTTTCATTACGGATTTGTATTGTTAATTACACCAATACTTAAATATTACTACAAAATTCTAATTTGGTGGCGGAGGGATAATTAATACACATGTATGACGTGCAAAATTAATAAATTCATGCAATCACTCCAGATACTATTCTAGTCCTTTTTAAAATTCATTAATTAATTTTCACTAACAATTTTAGCTCACTCTTTTGGTCATAAATTTAAAATTAATTTGATCTCATCAGAAACAACTGCAAATGATATATTTCCTTCTTATACCAATTTCGCGATATTTCAAAAACTGTTTTAAAATAAAAAAAAGGAAGAGGAAAAGTTAACCTTGAAATAAATCATGTTCTTACTCAAGACAAGCTTGAGAGTAATGTCCTTAGCATTAATTAATTTTATTAATTTTTTCGTTAGATTGAATTTTGTTTTTTGCTTTTTTTTGCCGCTTGTCTTGTGTGTCCAGTCCGTCCCTGTTGGGCGTTTGAGTTGGCGCTTTTGCTCAGTTGGTGACACGTTTTTGTGTTTGTAGTGCTGTTGCTGTGAGTGTGCGTTTTTATTTATTCATTTATTTATGCGCTCGGCGTTTGGGCTGGTGGCGGTGGTGGCGGCGGCCGCGGGGTGATAAATTGCGCCGACACTCTGTGCTTTGTGTGCATCTGGGGACACACCATAGCATTTCCTCCGAGGCTCCGCCGCATCTGCATCGTGAATAATGCAAACGCGATTCATTTCGCGCCGTGTGTTTTATTCGTTGGCGCCGCCGAGAGTGAGAGAGCGAGCAAGCGAAACGACCAATTTGTTCTACTTAACCGAGCCGCCAAATAAACTCAAATAAAAATCCGTCTCTCTGCGCTAGGCACGGAGGCTCATCTTTCATGCGCGCCGAAACAACAACGAGAAAATAAAACAGGCTTATTTTGCAGCAGGGGCGCTTCAATTATTAAAACACACACACACATATGCAGGCCCCGCGACATGTATGCAGCACACACGACACTTCATTTCGCCGGCGAGTGCTTTGCAAAATTTATATCTCTCCACGGCGGGTGACACATATGCTTCAGGCTTGCGAAAAGTCACGTGCGATTTTAAATTGCAGCCTTTCTGCTCGACTGAATTTAAATAAAAAGTGAGATACGCTGAGTAAGATTAAATTTGATTTTACCAATTTGATGATATTCATGATTTTCCCTGTAAAAAGGATTTAGATTCAAGATTGTAAAAGTAACGGGACAGCAGATAAACGAATAATCTCACCTATATTTTACAATTCAATTTTAGCTTTTACTTGTACAAACCCCTCTTGTATATATTAATAATGAAATTTTGTTTTGCGCAATGTTTAAAGCTGGTTAAGTTGATAACACAAAATGATTAAAATAAAGAAAAGCGGTTCAAAGCTAAAATACTTGTTAACTTTATAATAAATTGAAATAATTAATAAATAAAATTATGCCGTAAATTTTTTAGTGAAAATTATGTTAGAATTTTATAATAGTAAAAATTGTATCTTCTTTAATAATTTAAATTTCTCCTCTGAAGAAATGAACCTTCTTAAGATTATTGCTACTTTTTTCCAATTTCAGAGAAGCATGTTACTTTTTTAATTAATGAATATATGTATTCAAGCCTAATGCTTTTCTGAAACTCTGACTATAGAACCTAACATATACCCTTCCTGGCCTGCTTATAGCTTATTCCTTGGGCCAACTTCGTCTCACACTTGCACTGGTCTCTTTACGGTCGTTTCGGCCGCTTTTGATTTAATTTCGGCCGGAGCGGGCGTTTTGATTAAAATGCAAATTGCTCGCCGACCAAAGTTGCCGGGGCAAAGTTAGTTGCAGGTCTCGGCGGCGTCGCGCGCGCGTCTCGCCGGCGAATCTCATTCAATTTTCCAGCTCTTTGCGTAATTCTATTACTATCCATTAATGCACACAGCGGCGACGACGAAGACTCGCTCGGAAGCCACAAGAGAGCCATCCGCCAGACGCAACCAGCGCCGCTCATAATTACGGAATAAATTGTACGAGCCTCCCGAGGACTCTGCATGCCGAGAGCAAAAGATGCCCTGCAAGAGTCTTTGCTGCTCTTCAACCCGCCGGCGCATAAACACTCATTATTCTGCAAGGGTTGATTCCGTCCCTCGGGACGCCTCCTCTCTCTCTCTCTCTCTCGCGGGCGCAAGAATAAATTAAATTTCTAGCCAGAGAATAAATTGAAACGCTAGATAAGCACTCTTTTTTTATAATAATTGTATTCTTTTCAAAAAATGATATATTTCAGACACTTGCTGGGAAGAATTTTTTTTCAGAAATAAATAATTTTTTAGATAAAAAGTAAAGGACAGGAAGGGTTTTAGAACTATTTTTCTACTGAGCCAATGTGTAGTAAAGTTCTTTGACAACGCAAATTGGTGGTTTCTCACTACGAGTATCGGTGAGCTTGAGTTTTTTGAATAAGTGCTTCATGCTTGGTTTGTTGTGAAAGACTTTGCTTCGGATGTCTTCGGCCAGGGTATTTCTGTAAAAGCAAGCATTGAGGATGGTGATTGTCACATCAAAAGAGGCATCTTTCTCCACGTAAGCAGGACAGTTGAGGTTGAACTTGACAAAGGAATTGGTGACAGCTTTATTTGTGACAGTTGTTTCATATTTCCGAGTCTTCAGGTGCTTGACAGATGCAACAGCTTTCAGGTTCAGGGTGTAATTGCTTCCACCATAACCCTCCCTGTAAAATTATAACAAAAAGAAACATTAATTTCTTTGTACGGAAACGATATTAACTATAAAATTAAAAAAGATATTTAATTAATCGATTTCAATTGCTTAAGCATACCTTTTTCCAGAGGGGGAGAGTTTTGGTTCACTGGCCACTTTGCACAGAACCTGGAAGCCTCTGACCAAAATCGCCTCTCCGGCTGTGAAGGATATGGTGATTTTGACCGATCGACTCAACTCAACCACATTCCCATTTTCAGCGCTCAGCAGCTTTTCAGGTCCCAGCAAATCTGATTCTTCAATCAGGACAAAAGTTTCACATGAATTACTTCGTGAGGCAGTCACAGGACACAGGGTTGTTGGAATTGTGAGAGCTTTGCGCTTTCGATTTGTTTTGCCATTATTGAAGAGTTTAGTGCTCATAAGGTAGTTCTTCTCCTTTAGGCCAATGAAGTTTTCGTATTCAAAGGCTTCCTCTAATTCCTTGGTTTCCAGAGTCAGTAGACGCAGATGTGGGGCAACGTTTTTCAAAGAACTGCAAAAATAATTTAGAAATTGATAAATAACTAGTTTACATGTTTTCACTTCTCATCATTTGCTGCAGCATATTCCTTGCAAGCTTTGACAAGCACCATCTCAGAAAAAATGTTCATATTGTCACACTCCAAGAAACAGACTAGGGCTTCGAGGCTGATGTCCAGAAAAGAGGAATGATTCAGACACTCAACAGTTCTTGAGCACAGAAACTAAGGCAAGGAACATAATTCATTACTTTTTATGAAAATAATAAAAATAATTAAGATTATTATACCTCCTTGCAGGCTGATACAACATAGCAATTGATAAGATTCGAGTCCAGAATTTTCCAAACTTCCTCCACCACTAGGAATTTTCCAATCAGGTCTTTGCATAAATTACCAAGCTCTTCAATCATGAACAGATCAGCCGCAAGGGCCACATCCACAGCATCTGATAAACTTGTAACACTTGTGAACAGCTGGTGAAAGTGCACAAATCTGTGTGCAAAAGATAAAAAAATAATGTTCAGAAATTATATAATAATTAACAATAATTCTCAAATCTCACTCCATGATCAATCTGAAGACATTGGATTTTACATGCTTCATCCTGATGGAATTTGAATCTGGAGTGCGTTGTGTCAGGGGACTTTGCAGGAGCGCTGAAAAGTACTCGCTGGCCACCTTCAGCTCAAACTGGCTGGCGTAAAACGTCTGCAGTCGACAAATAATTCATAACATGAAATACATTTTAAGCTATAGTCCTAATTAACCTCTTCTTCTTCGCCGACGAGAAAGACGCAGTCAGCGAATTCGCCCGTCGCGAGTGCCCGCCGTTTTTTGGTCAGCAGAGATTTCTCCTCGGCCAATTCTTCACCTTCCGTTTTTACGCTTCTTGGGCTCTCCTCTGAACTGAGAACGGGTTTGGCGTCCCCCTGGTCTGGTGCTTCTGATTTTTCCATGATATCCCAAAGGTTTTCAATTCAAGTTCAGCAAAGGCGATGCAATGAAATCAGCAGAACATTTGGCGGGAAAGAAAAACAAAGACTGTGTAAAGAGCATGACCGCAGACCACAAGACACCTGACAGTAATGACGTCACGTCATCTGTGTATGTGTATGTTGTAATGAACGTAGTACGCATGCTCCATCGGGGGGGGGGGGGGTATATTAGGGAAAACCGGCAAACCGCGAAAATGCGTGAACCTTATTCAGTTTTGTATTAAACTTTTTTTCATCAACTTTGGCTATTTTTGAATTCAATAACGTACCATGATAAAATAGTAGAGAATTTCCAGTATTCCAAGGTGATGATTCACGTTTGCTCACCTCTTGTTAGCTTTTATTGCCTTTTAGGGTTAATGTTTGGCTATGCTTCATGCTCTCTTTTCTTTTTCATCATCTACAAGCCAAGGACATTGTCTCGTTTTGTGCTTGCGGTGTGCCGTGCGCCTGCGCAGTGAGGCCCAAAAATACATAGGTCGCAAAATTATTTCAATATTCAATAATGCATGTTCACTCTAAACAAAATGAAAAAATTAAACTTCCGATCCCATGCATTCATGCATTGTATTGCAAAAGGAAAGATTCCACCGAGATTCAAACTCGGGTCACTGGAGTCAAAGCCCAGTGTGTTTACCACTACACCAAGGAACCAATTACAACTGATGGAAGTGTGAGGAAAATTTCCATAGTATAAGTGAGTATACTTGCTAGACAATTTGCTGGCAAAACAATCAAGCCAAAATTTTCAATATGGTTTTATTTATTTTTTTTTTTATCTTCGATGTGCAAAAATTAAGAAAACATTAAATACATTATTGAATATTTCTGATACGTAAATAATCATCCACAGTGTCCACTTGAACAAGTTCTACATAGCTGTGATGCCTGCGATCACCATGAGTATGTATAGAATTACACACTAAATTGCTTAATTATATAAATGCACAGAATTCCAAGGTTACATTCAGTTTGCTCTTTGTACCGTTTGAAAATTTGAGGGAAAACTGCGACTATAAGAGCGTGCGATCAAAATGTCACAGAATTGATTTCATTCTTGGAATCTCCGAAGGTTGTTCGGCAGTGTTATTTTGTGTTCGTTTTGTAACTTTTTCCCCAAATTTATAAAATAAGATTTGTAACATAATTTTAAAAACTGGCAGGTGCTATTTATATACAAAATAATTAGACAAAACGACTACTTTTTGAATTATTTCATTTTTTATTGTTATAAGCAAACACATTTATTTAGCAAATTTAGAAATTAAATCAGAAGCATATTTTGCTTGTTTTGCCCATTATTTGATGAGATCGATCATAGCGGAAATAGACGGCAAGAGGGGTATGTATTTGGTGCGGTTTTCAGTTTTGGTGGCGAGGGCGAAAGGGAATCTTATTTTTGGGGAATGGATACGACATTAAGTGAATGGCCGCGGGCGAAAGATGCTGCGTGCGGTTTTTGGCTTTGCAGCCGCAGGGCTGGAGCAGGAAAAGGGCCGGATCTTCTCGAAGGGGGCGATAACTCAATAAGCGGCCGCAAAATCTGCTCCACGGCATCTCTTTTTATTTTACGACCGCTTTTATTACCGTCGTAGTTGAAACATAAACTTTTCGGATCCGGATCTTTGTGCTGCAGAGAAGAGAGAAAGAGGACTTTCAATAAGCTGATTGCCATCTTAATTAATTCGCGCTTAATGGCCCCGAAAGGAAAGATGATTTAGTGGAATAATTTGTATACGTTTTTGATTACACGCAATTACACGGCACTTTTTATTTCTAAAATCAAATTTTGTGCTACACCTATAGATTCGAAATTTAAAATGGAGGGATATACAGTTTTTATCTTCAGAAGAAATATAATTTTTGGCATTTTCCAGTTCACAATCAATCAGCATTGAGATCATAAATCATTTTGATTTATTCTTTCGGAATAAATAGAATCTATATAAAACGTTTAACTAGAATAATTGAAATTTATTTGATTTTAGCATATATTTATTTGTTGCTAAATTATTACATGTGTGCAAAAATACAAATTATAAGCTCAAAATGTTTGCTCATTGCACTTGATGACTGTTGATAACTACTTTTAGTAAAAATAATTTTCCACGCAATTATTGACACACAAGACACACATAAGACAATCATGATGATTCTGAGTTATTCTTTACGTGTGTGCTGTGCGAGTTTTTTTGTTAACAATTTGGTTTCCTCAATACATTTAATATTTGACACACAAAAAGGTGATCGATCTATACACTGCTTTATTCGTTCTTTAAACCCTTTTCTAAAAACCTACTTAATATTGAGAATTTGATTTTTCCCAGGAAGCATTTGATTTTAGACTTTCAAAATTTGGCAATATTTTTTTGACCAAAAGTCCCTATTTCATTTTATTTTTAAGCAAAATTCCAAAATAGTACCATATTTAATCTGAACAAATCCAGATATTTTATTATCGCCTTTCACTAAATCTCCTTCCCTAAAAAACGAAACTTGTAAAACTGCCCTTATCTGTCAGCCAAAATATTAAAATAGGTTTTTCAAAATAATTACAGAACAATACAACAAAAAGAATCGTATTTTTTAATTTATTGATTTATATTACTTTGCTTATACAGTATTTAATTTCAATCTAACTAAAATATTCAAATAAAAAATAACACTGCTCCAACTTTTCATCAATCCAGTGTGTATTTAATTTTTTTTTTTTTTTTTTTTTTTTTGTAATGCAAATTGAATTAAACCACTGAGGAATATAGTTCTCTGTAATTACATTTGTGAAATTCAATTCTGCGCTAAACTGGAGCACAATTACACAATATTCGCTGCGACCGATGCGCGAATATTCCGGTTGTTGTTTAATTGCGGCCGCTGAATATTAATGCAAACGCGCGCATTAAAACGAATATAGTGTGCATTGGTCTGCACGCGGCTGTGCCGCGGGTGTAATTCTATTTGCAGCGACCGCCAGATTTATCGTTATTATTATTATCATCGCCGCCGCTACTGCGCGGATATCGCGCTTGTCCGACGCGCCGTTTTGAATTATTCGAGCGCCAGAGAGCGTTTGTTTGTTTCAATTAGGCCGCCATTACTTTAATTAAACAAACCCGGCCGCAAATTTATTTTCGCGAATTATTCCATTCAATTTCCAGCAAAAATATTGCATCTGTTTACAAAAATGTATTGATTACAAATTTAAGCAAAAACAATTAGATTTGCATGACATAAATTCATTTCTTTTTATTAAACGTATATTAAATTATTTGTAACTTTGAAGCTAGTGATTTTTTTTATTATAATTTTCTGCTTTAAATGAAAAAAATTATTTTTTAAATGGTTTTTCACACTTTTAATTGTTTATTTATTTTAAACTTTTATTTATGTTTTCCTCTATAATTTTTCATCAGCTCTATTATGTATGAATAGTTGTCTTCCATACAGTAAGTCACATGATTTTGTTTTGTTTCTCAATGACATTGATCTAATTATTTAAATTTCTTCCTTTTTAAATAATAAGCAATAAAATAATGATCATAAGTGATCATAGGGAGAAATTCTCACAAACTGATCTGTTGTTGAGCCTGTTGCATGACCAATCTAATTATTTTTACCATTTTTTAATATTTAATGCGCCAAAAGTTAAAATAATTTTTCCATCTGAAATAATTTACGCAATCTTTTCTTCCACTATACATGCTTGTTATTTTGAAGGAAAGACGTCTGCGGAATAAATTAGCCAGCGTTTTTCCTGGTTTTTCACTCACTTAGCCACTAATTAACCTCTTCTCTTTCGTGCACACAGACACACATGTGTATGCAGGCGGTCTTGTTTTTGCGCTTCTCTCTCAAAAGGCCTTTTCTCTTGTCTGAAATTTATTTCATCGCCGCCGCCGCCACCGACCTTCTAAATAAAATAAAAGGCTTGTGCTGCGGCAAAGCAAACCACCGAGGCCACCCCCAGCGAGCCAGCAAGAGATAAAAGAGACACGAGGAAAGAGCGAGAGAGAGAATGAACAGCTCCAACTTTCTAATTATACATACTACGTATATTATGCACCATGCAAATACTTCCCTTAATTTATGCACTCCAGCAGTATATTCGCGAAAAGTAATTGTTTGTCGCACATAAAGAACATACCAAGAAATATGGTCATAATGGCAGTTTTGAGGTTTGAAAAATTATGTAATTTTTATGAAGCTTTTTAATCTTTTTTTTTCATTGCAAGATTAATGATAAATTAATTCTAAACGAAAATGAAATAGATAGATTTTTACTAATTGCGATTTTCAATTTAAAATTTATCGACCCATATTTTATCAGTAGACTTTCCTTATTGACTGTTTTTAAATAGTTAGTTCAAATCTGTATAAAACAGTAGAAGTAAATATTTGTAATTGTTAGAAGACAATTGAAAATTTTAACAACTACATCTTGCAGATACTTAATTTGACTATCATTATGTAAAGGAGTCCTTAATACCTCAATGCACTCCTTATTGATACAGTAACAAAATCAAGTCTTTACAACAAGCTAGGTGATTGCGCCAAATATCTAATAAAAAATTGCTCCCATTGTTGTAAATAATCTCATTCATCATTTGACTTTGTCAATAAAGAGACATTAAAACCAACAATTTGATCGCCGTCAATCACCAGATAGGAATAAATTTTTTTCAAAACAGAAAAATTCAAAATTTACAGAGAGGAAAGTTTTTTAAGCATTTTCCCAAACTGTTTGGCACAAGTTGCTGCATGTCGCGGCGCGGGCGTCATCATTTCGCTTTATTTGCCAAAGGTGTGGCAACAAAGGGTGAGTTTTTCTTTCCCCTCGGGAGGGCGGGGGCGGACTCGTCTATGTGATGTTTTTTGGCTCATTAATAATTCGGGACTCGTTTTGTCGGCTCATTTGGCTCCGCTCTCTCTCGTCATCCGCGGCGAGAGCTGAATTATTCGTCGCGCCATCTGGCCGCTGCATCACGCGCGGCGCAGAGTTAGCGCAAGGCGAGCGAGAGAGATGTATTGGCCAATTGGCACCCGCTTTGCATCACGATCCGTATATGTGTACACGTAAT